GACCACCAACCCCATAAACGCGCACAGGACCATGCGTGTCTTTGAGTATTTGTGCACCCAATAAATACACTGCTGCAGGAAACAGTCCGCGTCTCCCCTCTCCTCTCGAAGCGCGATTAAACGCCCTAAATAAAGCTCTGATACCTACATTTTGCATTGCATTAAAGGTTGATGTTTGAGCCCAAAAGTAATATGTTGTGAACAAATTAAACAGATTTATAGGACTGAGGCTGTAGACCCAGGACTGAGGCTGTAGACCCAGGACTGAGGCTGTAGATCCAGGACTGAGGCTGTAGACCCAAGACTGAGGCTGTAGACCAAGGACTGAGGCTGTAGAGCCAAGACTGAGGCTGTAGACCAAGGACTGAGGCTGTAGATCCAGGACTGAGGCTGGACTGAGGCTGTAGACCCAGGACTGAGGCTGGACTGAGGCTGTAGACCCAGGACTGAGGCTGTAGACCCAGGACTGAGGCTGTAGACCAGGACTGAGGCTGTAGATCCAGGACTGAGGCTGTAGACCTAGGACTGAGGCTGTAGATCCAGGACTGAGGCTGTAGACCCAGGACTGAGGCTGTAGACCCAGGACTGAGGCTGTAGACCCAGGACTGAGGCTGTAGACCCAGGACTGAGGCTGTAGACCCAGGACTGAGGCTGTAGACCAGGACTGAGGCTGTAGATCCAGGACTGAGGCTGGACTGAGGCTGTAGACCCAGGACTGAGGCTGTAGATCCAGGACTGAGGCTGTAGATCCAGGACTGAGGCTGGACTGAGGCTGTAGACCCAGGACTGAGGCTGTAGACCCAGGACTGAGGCTGTAGACCCAGGACTGAGGCTGAAGATCCAGGACTGAGGCTGTAGACCCAGGACTGAGGCTGTAGACCCAGGACTGAGGCTGTAGACCCAGGACTGAGGCTGTAGATCCAGGACTGAGGCTGTAGATCCAGGACTGAGGCTGGACTGCGGCTGTAGACCCAGGACTGAGGCTGTAGACCCAGGACTGAGGCTGTAGACCCAGGACTGAGGTTGTAGACCCAGGCCTGAGGCTGTAGACCCAGGACTGAGGCTGGACTGAGGTTGTAGATCCAGGACTGAGGCTGTAGACCCAGGACTGAGGCTGTAGACCCAGGACTGAGGCTGGACTGAGGTTGTAGATCCAGGACTGAGGCTGTAGACACAGGACTGAGGCTGGACTGAGGCTGTAGATCCAGGACTGAGGCTGTAGACCCAGGACTGAGGCTGTAGACCCAGGACTGAGGCTGTAGAGCCAGGACTGAGGCTGTAGATCCAGGACTGAGGCTGGACTGAGGCTGTAGACCCAGGACTGAGGCTGTAGATCCAGGACTGAGGCTGTAGATCCAGGACTGAGGCTGGACTGAGGCTGTAGACCCAGGACTGAGGCTGTAGACCCAGGACTGAGGCTGTAGACCCAGGACTGAGGCTGAAGATCCAGGACTGAGGCTGTAGACCCAGGACTGAGGCTGGACTGAGGCTGTATCCAGGACTGAGGCTGTAGACCCAGGACTGAGGCTGTAGACCCAGGACTGAGGCTGTAGACCCAGGACTGAGGCTGTAGACCCAGGACTGAGGCTGTAGAGCCAGGACTGAGGCTGGACTGAGGCTGTAGATCCAGGACTGAGGCTGGACTGAGGCTGTAGACCCAGGACTGAGGCTGGACTGAGGCTGTAGATCCAGGACTGAGGCTGTAGACCCAGGACTGAGGCTGTAGACCCAGGACTGAGGCTGTAGATCCAGGACTGAGGCTGTAGACCCAGGACTGAGGCTGTAGATCCAGGACTGAGGCTGTAGATCCAGGACTGAGGCTGGACTGAGGCTGTAGACCCAGGACTGAGGCTGTAGACCCAGGACTGAGGCTGTAGACCCAGGACTGAGGCTGTAGACCCAGGACTGAGGCTGGACTGAGGTTGTAGATCCAGGACTGAGGCTGTAGACCCAGGACTGAGGCTGTAGACTCAGGACTGAGGCTGTAGACCCAGGACTGAGGCTGTAGACCCAGGACTGAGGCTGTAGACCCAGGACTGAGGCTGTAGACCCAGGACTGAGGCTGTAGAGATCCAGGACTGAGGCTGTAGACACAGGACTGAGGCTGGACTGAGGCTGTAGATCCAGGACTGAGGCTGTAGACCCAGGACTGAGGCTGTAGACCCAGGACTTAGTCCTAATCCTCTAAACACATGGGTCATTTTGGGGATCCTTCCTCGCCTGGTTTTCTTTGTGTATAATTGTTCATAAAACAGTGTTTTGATGCAGAGTCAACAGTAGACTTTGTTTTTTTCAGTACAACCTGGGGTTTTAGAATATTCATATTGTAAAGCTGTCATATGAATTATATAAAACTTATGGAGTCATGAAGACAAAGAAAAGAATCAAATGGAAAATCAAGTTAACAAAAATGTATTGAAAAAACAGAAATAACTTTTTACACTGCACAGAAATGTTATTTGGGTCATGGAGATAATGGAAAACTGAATCTGTGACTATTTCTGAAAAAACTACTCAGTGTTCTGGACATCAGCACACACAGACATGTCACAGACTGCATCAGTCTGGATCAGCCTCAGTGTTCTGGACATCAGCACACACAGACATGTTACAGACTGCATCAGTCTGGATCAGCCTCAGTGTTCTGGACATCAGCACACACAGACATGTCACAGACTGCATCAGTCTGGGTCAGCCTCAGTGTTCTGGACATCAGCACACACAGACATGTCACAGACTGCACCAGTCTGGGTCAGCCTCAGTGTTCTGGACATCAGCACACACAGACATGTCACAGACTGCATCAGTCTGGGTCGGCCTCAGTGTTCTGGACATCAGCACACACAGACATGTCACAGACTGCATCAGTCTGGGTCAGCCTCAGTGTTCTGGACATCAGCACACACAGACATGTCACAGACTGCACCAGTCTGGGTCAGCCTCAGTGTTCTGGACATCAGCACACACAGACATGTCACAGACTGCATCAGTCTGGGTCAGCCTCAGTGTTCTGGACATCAGCACACACAGACATGTCACAGACTGCATCAGTCTGGGTCAGCCTCAGTGTTCTGGACATCAGCACACACAGACATGTTACAGACTGCATCAGTCTGGGTCAGCCTCAGTGTTCTGGACATCAGCACACACAGACATGTTACAGACTGCACCAGTCTGGGTCAGCTAGATGTAGCAGCAGAGTGACAAAGAATGGACAAAGAGCTCTGGTCTTATACCATGATAATTAGAAACACATGTGACAATATGTCCCACCTTCCTCTCCCTCGGAGAAGACGTGGCTTCCCTCTAAATGAACATGAGATCTACTGAAAACACATGTTTTCAGCTTCCTGCTTATTTAGACTAGTCTTTCACTCATGACTGGGGGCTGGGAGAATGCTGCATCCCACCACACACGTAGGTTAACCCAAAGCTGTCTAAACTTTGAATATATTCATTCACTTTAATGAAAATCCAACAACTCTACTATCACTATTATACTTTTTACAAAAGTCCACTATAAAAACTCTGTACTCCTGATGCCCTTCCTGAAGCAGTTTGTCTGTGATGCTGGGGTTGCTTCTGTAGCACAGCTGTAAAAAACGTAAAACATAAGAAACTAAGACAAAAATATATATATATATATTTATATAATACATATATTTATATACATCATATTCACATAACGTCATTTTATTTATGATTGTCTTTATCAATAATGCGCACTCTTCAGCCGGTAATGGGCTCTATGCACCACTTCTGCGTTTTAGCTAAAGCTCCACTTCACTTCCTGTTCGCGGGAACAGCTTGAGTTTCACTGGAGTTCGGTGGTTTACACGAGTTTCCCAAATAATGCTCAAACGGGAATTAAACTGTGAGGATGCAGTGCATTGTGGGACACAGCAGTGATCTTTGATTGTGCTGTCATTGTGTGTTTATAAAGTTTACAAACGGTCAAAGCTCTACCTCAGAGAGAAAGTTCAGTGACACTTTTGGGTCAGTCTCAGCTGAAAGTATCGATCTAATTATTAAAAAACGTCACTTAAACTCACCTAAAAGCCACAGGAGAGCACAGACAGGAAGTGAACGGGCTGATCTGCGTTAACAGGAAGTGACATCACGCCTCCCCGTGCATACAGCCCATTGCAATCGCAGCTGTAGTTTCAACTGTGGGACAACAAGTGCACACAGAGGAGTGAGACATCTCCCTCTCTGACGATCTTTGGCAGTCCCCGTGTGTTTGTATCTCACAGCTGTTTGTACCTCACGGGTCACCGCTAACATCCGATTGGACACGGACTTTCAGACAAACGTAGTTTATCCTCCGTGCATCGCACAGACAAATCAGCCCTGAATATGAACTTCACAGAGGAAAAAGAAGTAAGTTGCTACGTAAATTGATCCTTAGTAAAACATGTGCGCAGGTATCGTCGACGATACAGATGGTTCATCTGAGCACAGCTCCTTCTTCCACATGTTGGATGTGTCCGTCTTTGTTTCTTGTGTTTTTATGTAAACACTTTGTCTGTAAAGACCACATCTGTGAAGTGTAGGACTAATATTTGTCCCATGTACAGATTCCTCCAGGTGAGCTGTGGATGTCTGCAGCTCCTCCACAGTAACCATGGGCCTCGTGTGTGCATCTGTGATCAGTGTTGTCCTCGATCAGCAGAGTCTTGGTAGATTTGCAGTTGTGCCGTACTGTTTCTGTACTGCCCTCATAGAACCCTTTCTACTCTCCAGGAGTTAAACACCTCCACACAATAAGTGTGCAGCTCTGAGCAGCACCATAAGTGTGTTCTGTGAGTCAGCAACACGTCACAACAACATCACGAGACTCTTCTGAGGAGGCAGCAGCTGAAACTGATACTTTCTCTGAGTCTTTATGCGATCTGTCTCAGACTCTGTGTCCAGAGTGTGATGAAGACCTCTCTGTCTCAGACTCTGTGTCCAGAGTGTGATGAAGTCCTCTCTGTCTCAGACTCTGTGTCCAGAGTGTGATGAAGTCCTCTCTGTCTCAGACTCTGTGTCCAGAGTGTGATGAAGACCTCTCTGTCTCAGACTCTGTGCGGCTGGTTGGAGGCTCTGGTCTCTGCTCTGGATCACTGCAGATATGGGACCAGTCCTGGATCTCGGTCTGTGAAGGGGCCTTGGACCTGAGGGGAGCAGAGGTGCTGTGCAGGGAGCTGGGCTGCAGGGGTCCTTCTGTCCTCCAGGGGGAGCTCTCTTCTCTGGGGCAGACGTTCCACTGTGAAGGCCATGAGTCTGCTCTGGTGGACTGTCCCCGCTCCAGACCCAAGACCTGTCCCTCTGGACCCAGTGAGGACGTCATCTGCTCAGGTGAGGGGCGGGGCTAAGGTGGGCGGGGCTTTAGTACAATGTAAATCAATCAATCCATAAAAGCATAACAAAATCCTAAAGCAAGGACAGAAAACAAATAAGAAGAATAATAATCAGACTTTTTTCCAAAGAGAAGGCATTAAGAATCTTCACCTTTTTTGGAGCTTTTTTTGCTCTGTTTCAACTGAACATTCTGCTAAATTGTGAAAGTGTTCAACATAATAAAGACGCTCACAGTATTTAAATCTTTCTCACTTGACTTAAATATCAAAAGTGAAACAGTTTCTTTATGTTATAAGTCTCCAAAGAACCCTAATGATATTGACAAAAGACATGACTTAATATTCAGTTTAAATGTCTATATTTGTATTCTTTTATACATAATAACCCAAAATGCTGCCCCCACAGGACAGAACCAGAATCAGTCTCAGATGATTCAACATCTGTTTGGCAGAAGCCGCATGAGTCTGATTCCTGCAGACCCCAAATCTTGAGCATCTTTTTGTGGATAACATTATTTAGAATTTTGATTGTAAAGAATCTGGTTTGTGAGTCTGTGAGGTGTGACAAACTTCTGTTCAGTGAAGTGTTCAAGTCTAAACAAGTATTTTTCAGTATTAATTATGAGTTTCCATTTATTCCACAAGACCCCAGATAATCAGTTACACACCTGTGAGAACTGATATTTATATTAGTTTTTAATTTTCTGAGAATATTCTAATAAATGTCCTTTTTAACAATATGGTTGATGAATATATTCTAATAACAATATGGTTGATGAATATATTCTAATAACAATATGGTTGATGAATATATTCTAATAACAATATGGTTGATGAATATATTCTAATAACAATATGGTTGATGAATATATTCTAATAACAATATGGTTGATGAATACTTCTCTCAGAGTCAGGGCTTTCCATCAGTGAGAACATCAGAGTTGATATGATCTGCTGCAAAACACTTTCAGCAGTTTATCTGAAACAAAACCAACTCTCCAGATTCTTTCAGGAACTTTGAACCATATTTGATTTGGTTATTTAAAGAAAAACAAAAACACCTCTTTTGAGAATATTAAATGATTTATTTAAGTAACTTTGTGTTTTTGTACATTTTTAAACTAATGAGACTTTTATCAAAAACACAGAGCTTCTAAATGTAGTAATAGAATGATACTAGTTGTTTTTAATTCCAGATAAATAGAAATATGTTTTGTTCGTAATACTTAGAGAAGCTCTGAGTTGGGAGAGACTTTAATAAATGCACAGAATGAGGCAGAAATATTGTATTTATGAATTCTATTTGTTATATAAAGTTAGAGTTGTTCTCTTCCAAGGTTGCAACGTCTTTCCTCTTGTTTTAGTTTTTTGATTCTGAGGATATTTCCAGATCCGTGTGTGTGTGTGTCAAACACAGACACACTCACACACACACAGACACACACACAAACACACACAAACACACACACAGACAGACAGACAGACACACACATGTTTCATTGGATGTGACAGTGTGTCTCAGTGAGCAGCAGACGAGGACAGAGACAGGACTGACCTCACTGTACAGAGACCAGAGTGTGTGTATGTGTGTGCGTCACTTTGTGTGTGTGTGTGCGTGTGTGTCAGTGTGTGTGTGTGCGTGTTTCTGTGCTTATTTTTGTGTGGGCCCGTGTTTGTTTATGTGTGTATCTGTGTGTGTGCGTGTTTGTGTATATCTGTGTGTGTGTATGTCTCTGTGTGTGTGTACGTGTTTGAGTGTGTATGAATGTCTGTGTGTATGTGTTTGTTTGTGTGTGTCTCCATGTGTTTGTGTAAGTGTGTGTGTGTGTGTGTTTTGTGTGTGTGTTAAAATAAAGTGTAAATAAGTGTATTGTCTGTTGCTCTATAATAGAACCAAATGTTGTCATGTTTGTTTGTGTGTCAAATGTGTGTGTGATGTTTGTGTGTCCTAAGAGTTGTTGTGTTGCTCAGAGCCGCTCAGGCTGGTGGGAGGGGCCAGTCGCTGCGCCGGGACAAAGTGGAGGTCAGCTCAGAGGAGAGTGGAGACGAGTGGAGAAGGACAGGAGTCTGGACCGAGGAGGACTCAGCTGCTGTGTGCAGAGACCTGGACTGTGGGTCTGCTGTTTCTGGACGTCAGAGACGTGGTTTTCCAGACAGTCGTGTGTGGGAGATCTCAGCTGACTGCATGAAGAGGAGGAAGACTAAAGTGAGAGAATGTGTTTATGACAACACTTTCTCCTCCTTGTATGGTGCGGAGGTGATGTGTTCAGGTAAAAGTCAAAAGTAACTTAAATCTCTGCTGGAGCTGATGTCTCTGTCTCTGCAGACTTACTGAACCGTCCAGTCCTGTCCCTCTCTGTGACTGTGGGGGCCTCCCAGGACCCAGGACTCCCAGGTCCAGGACTCCCAGGTCCAGGACTCCCAGGTCCAGGTCTCCCAGGTCGGGGTGCAGGTGGTGCGTGTGCAGTTGGGGTCTCAGTTCTCGGTCCAGTGCTCGGTGAAGCCTCAGTTCCCAGGAGGCTCCTTCCAGCTGCTCTCTCCCTCTGGGAACCACACCCTGCCTGCTGTCAATCACTCTGCACACTTCCTGTTCAATCACACTGGCCCCGCCCACAAAGGAGACTACACCTGTGTTTACCACCTACAGGTGTTCAACCACAGCTTCACCTCCGAGAGCGAGAGACTGGAGCTGAGGCTGGGAGGTACTGATACTGCTACTGCTACTGCTACTGCTACTGCTGCTACTGCTGCTGCTACTGCTGCTGCTACTGCTATGCTACTGCTACTACTGCTACTGCTACTGCTGCTACTACTACTACTGCTACTGCTGCTACCACTACTACTGCTACTGCTAATACTGCTGCTACTTCTGCTGCTGCTGCTACTGCTGCTACTAGTACTACTACTATTACTACTAATACTTCTGGCACTGCTACTACTGCTCAAGTTCTCAAGCTTCATGAAACAAAGAGGAAACTGCTTTCTCCTTTTCTTTGACTTTTGCTGCAGACAGAGTGTGTGATGTCACATACTGCAGACAGAGTGTGTGTGATGTCACATCATGATGTCACATGTTACTGGACACAGAGTGTGTGATGTCACATGATGTCTCATACTGGAGACAGAGTGTGTGATGTCACATGACGTCACATACTGGAGACAGAGTGTGTGATGTCACATACTGGAGACAGAGTGTGTGATGTCACATACTGGAGACAGAGTGTGTGATGTCACATGATGTCACATACTGGAGACAGAGTGTGTGATGTCACATACTGGAGACAGAGTGTGTGATGTCACATACTGGGTGATCTATGTCTCTGTGATTATGATTACAATGCTAACCTGCTAGCTAAATGAAGCACGATCAGTGGGGGAGGGCCCCAGCTCAAAAGTGGCCAAAATGACGTGCGCTGACATGCTGCAGTACCACCCCGGGCCTGTGGGGGTGGACCCAGAAGAAGAATTAGCCAATGCTAACATATAGCGTTGGCAGACCTCTCAAAAACGTCTTTACAGGATGGACCAAAAGTTGGCTCTTGGCCCAAAGCTCCGTTCCACATGTGTGTCAATGCTGAGGGGGGTGTTTTGGTCCACTCTAGTTTAGTTGCTGTGAATTTTTGAAGTCTCTCGTTCAAATGAATGGAGCTGCGCCGGCTGACGCATGCGCAGATGTGTTTTTTCACCATTTTTGGACTCTGTCCGTTAATATATACAGTCTATGAGCACGATAGGGAAGTGCTCAGAGAGGAAGTTTTGCTCCAACTCTCTCTGGCTCCTATTGGCTTCCACTAAAAGTAAACTCAGGAACTGTTTTGGGATAAAACATCTGTGTTTCATCGTTCTCTGTGATACTAGTGAAGTGATGTTTTCTTTGTGAATCCAGGTTGTTTTGAAGTACTTGTACTTGTACTTGAACTTGTACTTGTACTTGATCAAACCTGTTTTCTCTGTTTTTGCAGTTTTAACGTCTGACCTGATCATCAGATTCCTGATTATTCTACTGATAATCCTCCTGTTCACCCTGCCACAGTGCTACTGTTACTACAAGGTATTAATACTACTACTACTACTACTGCTACTACTGCTACTACTGTTACTGCTACTACTTTTGCTGCTGCTAATGCTGCTACTACTACCACTACTGCTACTACTGCTATTACAAGGTACTACTACTACTTAAAAAAAACTTCATATATATATATATTTTTTTTTTTTTTTATCAGTGCCTTGCGAAAGTATTCGGCCCCCTTGAACCTACCCAGTAGGGCGGCAGTAGCTCAGTTGGTAGAGCACTGGCCTTTGAGCCTGAAGGTCGTGGGTTCAAGCCCACCACGGGACCTTCTCCACCGACTCCCACTGATGACTGCTGTCGTTGTGTCCTTGGGCAAGACACTTAACCCTGCATTGCCTGAAGCCCCCGCTGAAAAATCAAGGCTGTATTGTCACTGACAGAGCAGCCGTCCTCCTGTGGACTCACCACCTGCAGAGGATCAGTGAGGGGCTGGTGCTAAGTGAATTGGGTGCAGCTCTGACTGCCACCCCCCCGACCCAGAAATGGATTAAGGGGAAGAAAATGGATGGATGGATGCTTGCACAGTGCTCCTTGAGATGTTTAAAGCTTGGGAAATCTTTTTGTATCCAAATCCGGCTTTAAACTTCTCCACAACAGTATCTCGGACCTGCCTGGTGTGTTCCTTTGTCTTCATGGTTCTCTCTGTGCTTTAAACAGAACCCTGAGACTATCAAAGAGCAGGTGCATTTATACGGAGACTTGATTACACACAGGTGCATTCTATTTATCATCATCAGTCATTTAGGACAACATTGGATCATTCAAAGATCCTCACTGAACTTCTGGAGTGAGTTTGCTGCACTGAAAGTAAAGGGGCCGAATAATATTGCACGCCCCACTTTTCAGTTTTTTATTTGTTAAAAAAGTTTGAATTATCCAACAAATTTCGTTCCACTTCACGATTGTGTCCCACTTGTTGTTGAGTCATGACAAAAAATAAAATTTTCATATCTTTATGTTTGAAGCCTGAAATGTGGCGAAATGTTGAAAGGTTCAAGGTTCAATACTTTTGCAAGGTACTCTATATATATATATATATATATATATAGGCAAGGCAAGGCAAGTTTATTTGTATAACACAATTCATACAACAAGGCAACTCAAAGTGCTGAACAAAAATAAGAAAGCATTAAAATCATAAATAATCACAGAACATTAAAAAGAAAGATAATTAAAGCCGCAAGCGGCATCTAACGGCCCTCGCCGCACTGCCCAGGCATTACTTGTTGGAAAAGCAATAGGCCCTTACCGCAGTTGGGGCTCGGGCCTAATTAAAGCCGCAAGTGGCGTCGAACGGCCCTCGCCGCACAACGCAACCGAGGTGGCGCTGTCGTGCCATTGTCCTACCGCCCTGATGGGAGCGACACTGTGCATTTTGAATTCTTACGATCAGTGATTGTGTGTGTCTTTGAAAAGGTAAATCCCAGTCTCTCCATGTAACACTTGTATCACTCTGTAGGGGGCGCTGATGCTACATTTCCATGATTTACACGTTCAGTTTACATTCGTCCGTAAGACATTTGAAAGAACCCCCCTTTAATAGGACCTCAATCATTTCACTGTGTACTACAGCAGGAGCAAAGCCATTAGTGCCTCCGGCACGGATTTATCAGTGCTTGGGCACGTGCCTTCGCTGTGCCCGGAGATTGTGACTTATGACAGTTACAACGAGCTCGTTGGAAAAGCAATATAAAAATATAAAATATATAATCCCTCAGTTGTATGTACAGCTGAACAGAACTGTCTTTAACCTGGTTTTAAACATTGTCAGAGAGGAGGCCTGTCTCACATCTTCAGGAAGATTGTTCCAGATTTTAGCAGCATGAATCTGAAAAGCAGCCTCCCCATGTTTAGTTCTGACTCTGGGCACTAACAGGAGTCCAGTCCCTGTGCTCAGCCGGACAGAGCGTCCCAGCGATTGTAAATGCTAACAGGAGGAGGCCCAATGGGGAAACTACCAACAACACGTGGCCCTCTCCGAACAGTCACAAAGCCATCACTATCCTGGTCTTGTCCCAGCTGCGGAGGACGGGCTGGGAGGCTAGGCTCGCTAGTTCTCCTCTGCCTTTCCCTAAAGCTGCGCTCCGCTGTCCCTGAGGATACGGCCTGGCTGTAGCTAATGCTAGCGCTAGCTCGAGACTCCAGTGCTCGGAGACGCAGCTCTAACTCACTGACCCTGGATTCCAGAGCTACGACTACACTACACTTCACACATCTATCACTACCCTCAGAGAAGGATCCAGGGTTTAGACTCGCCATATGGCAACTCGAGCAGTAAAGGACTGAGGGAGAGACAGCAGCCGCCATAGGAGTAGCGAGTTAGCGGCTAGGCTAGGCTAAGCTAGTCCGGATCCGGGCCCGTACAACAGACTCCGAGACCAGACAAACAACCGCTACCTAAACCTCAGCTGCAGTACAGCTGACTCAGAGTGCTTACACAGTTAGCTTGGTGTACAATACGTGGATTTGTAATGTGTTTGTTAGTGCAAACAGAGAGCAGAGTGATAGTAGTGTAGGGTAACTAAATGCATATATGTCTTAGATGTACAGGTATTTGGATACACTACATATCTTAACATATCTGCACGGTAGTAACTATTCCTTATTGGAAATTCCCTTATATCTACCTTTATAAGGGTGTGCTTGTTCTAAGAATGGTCTAATTTTGACTAATATAGAATTACCCTCTGAAGAGAGGGAAAGAAAAGTCTCAAGACCCAACTAAAAGAATCGAGCGGGGTTTTAAAATCAATCTCATAAATATCTAAAAGTGTGAGTTCTATTCGCCAGAGAGCCCATCTTCCAAACTACTAACTAATAACACTGGAGGCTGATAGAGATTTAGCTGTTTATTTACCAAACAAAAAACCTCAGTAGTCAAGAAACACGCTCACAGGAAGTCAAAAAAGGTGGTCCAGTTTTCCTTTGTCAAATCTACCAGGTGGATACCAGGTGGATACCGGGTGGATACCAGGTGGATACCAGGTGGATACCGGGTGGATACCAGGTGGATACCGGGTGGATACCGGGTGGATACCGGGTGGATACCGGGTGGATACCGGGTGGATACCAGGTGGATACCAGGTGGATACCAGGTGGATACCAGGTGGATACCAGGTGGATACCAGGTGGATACCGGGTGGATACCAGGTGGATACCAGGTGGATAACAGGTCAATTAATGATTTTTTTGTGTATTTGCGTCTTCTTTGTTTGTTTTATCCATTGTTTCATTTTGTTTGCCACACACATGTACAGGACAGACTTCTGCAGTACACCAGACACACACATGTACAGGACAGACTTCTGCAGTACACCAGACACACACATGTACAGGACAGACTTCTGCAGTACACCAGACACACACATGTACAGGACAGACTTCTGCAGTACTACCAGACACACACATGTACAGGACAGACCTGCCCACTAGGCACCCCCCCTGAGAAGAGAAGGGTCGCTTCTGCAACACAGTTACTACTGCTACTACTACTAATGGATACTACTACTGCTACTGCTACTGCAACAACTTCTGCTTATACAAGGTGCTGCTACTACTTGCTACTGCTTCTGCTACAGCGACTGGTTCAGACCTGGTTCAGACCTGGTTCAGACCTGGTTCAGACCTGGTTCAGACCTGGTTCAGACCAGTGGATGTCTTGTTGTTTCAGGTTAAGTCCAGAAGAGGCGCTAGTGAGACACATGAGACCATGATCCTGATGAATGAGGTCATCACAGAAGAGGAGAGAGGAGGAGACGGACCAGGAGAGGAGAGAGGAGGAGACGGACCAGGAGGAGAGGAGAGAGGAGACGGACCAGAAGAGGAGAGAGGAGGAGACGGACCAGAAGAGGAGAGAGGAGGAGACGGACCAGAAGAGGAGAGAGGAGGAGACGGACCAGAAGAGGAGAGAGGAGGAGACGGACCAGGAGAGGAGAGAGGAGGAGACGGACCAGGAGAGGAGAGAGGAGGAGACGGACCAGGAGAGGAGAGAGGAGGAGACGGACCAGAAGAGGAGAGAGGAGGAGACGGACCAGAAGAGGAGAGAGGAGGAGACGGACCAGGAGAGGAGATAGGAGGAGAGGGAGCAGGAGAAATGAGTGAAGTGTAAATATTTCCCATGATGCTCTGGGTGTAAACGCCTCCTTCTGTTCAGCTTTGATCCTGTTGTTTTATTTCTCTCTGTTCGGGCTCAGAATGAAAAAGCTGTGGATGGAATCTGTCTCATTTATCAACGACACTTGTATGGCACATTCACACACGGATCATACACAGATGTGAAAACAATATTATCTGTTTCTATATTATCTGTATTTAGTGTCTTTTATTGTGTGTACATAATACTGTGTGTTTACTGCGGCTTCTTATATAATCATCTAATTATATGTCATGAGATACCATCAAGACCTAGACCATGGGGGTGTGTGTGTAACCATTGTCATTTATGATCAAAAAAATAATAAAACATTAATAAATGGAACTTGTTGGATGGATTTTGTCACAAAGTTCAATGTGTGTGGTTCTAAAGTCAGGTACCCCAGCTTTAAACAGCAGTCTGCAGTTTCCACGGCGACCGAGGGAGCTCTGAACCAAAGGTACCAGTGACAGAACAGACACAGAACCATGGACACAACTGGTCTGAACCAAAGGTACCAGTGACAGAACAGACACAGAACCATGGACACAACTGGTCTGAACCAAAGGTACCAGTGACAGAACAGACACAGAACCATGGACACAACTGGTCTGAACCAAAGGTACCAGTGACAGAACAGACACAGAACCATGGACACAACTGGTCTGAACCAAAGGTACAAGTGACAGAACAGACACAGAACCATGGACACAACTGGTCCGAACCAACGGTACCAGTGACAGAACAGACACAGAACCATGGACACGACTGGTCTGAACCAAAGGTACCAGTGACAGAACAGACACAGAACCATGGACACAACTTGACTGAACCAAAGGTACCAGTGACAGAACAGACACAGAACCATGGACACGACTGGTCTGAACCAAAGGTACCAGTGACAGAACAGACACAGAACCATGGACACGACTGGTCTGAACCAAAGGTACCAGTGACAGAACAGACACAGAACCATGGACACAACTGGACTGAACCAAAGGTACCAGTGACAGAACAGACACAGAACCATGGACACAACTGGACTGAACCAAAGGTACCAGTGACAGAACAGACACAGAACCATGGACACAACTGGACTGAACCAAAGGTACCAGTGACAGAACAGACACAGAACCATGGACACAACTGGTCTGAACCAAAGGTACCAGTGACAGAACAGACACAGAACCATGGACACAACTGGTCTGAACCAAAGGTACCAGTGACAGAACAGACACAGACTCTTTGGCTGCAGGAGCAAAGCCACAGAACAAAAACCTGGAGAATGTTGGAGGAAGAGCAGCGACAAAGACAATCACATTCACTATTATTTTATTGTAAGTAACAGGAAGTGACAAACCAGGAATCTGCTTTGGCTCATGGTGCAAACACGTGGTAAGAGTAAAAAGGTGCAGACATAAAAGAATGTTGATAAATGTGTTAAAATGAGGACTATCTCCACGTGCACTAAGGACAGAGACATGTAGCAGTGCAGTAAAGTGACTGTAAATGTCTAAAGCTGAACACATGTTTTTACACATGTACAAACATCCAAGACCATTGGACTGAAGGCAACACAAACATGAAGCAAGGAGAAGGAAAGATCCACTTCTTTGAGGAGAAACATTATTACTGGGAACATGAAGTCATAGAATGAAGAGAGGAAAAGCTCTTCTGGATCATGGCACTCACTGCTCTCAAACTAATGACCACAAACTGGAGAAAAACCAATCCCCAAAACCACAAACTGGAAGCACTTCAACAAGTCCAGGAAATGGATCCACAAAGAAGAAGAATAATGAAGGAGACGAGTTTAGGGAGAAATGGGGCATTTTGGATCATTTATAATGAACAATAATAATACATTTATATAATATTAATAATAACAACACGACTCGAGAGAAAGGAGCGTCTTAGGAAAACAATGGAAAGGACTAAAAATAAATAAATCCATAAATAAGAGGAAATGAAAGAAAAAGATGCAGTTGGAAGAATGTGAAGTGTTCAGATAATGACAGTAGATGTCGACGAGTGAAGAAGTGAATATATCACACCATCACATTCTTCTGATTGACACATGTGATGTCACACGACACATGTGTCATACATCATTATAGTCTTCATCTGCTCAAGGACTTTTTATTTTAGTTTATTTACTTTGTCTTTATTTACTCTTGTGGAGGTTTGTGTTTTTTATTTGTTGTTTTGTTGTAACTATTGTTTTATTCTTTATGATTTATTGATTCTTTTTAACACGAGGAGAAGACGGTGCAGAAAAGATAAACCAGGCCCCGCCTATAAGCTCCTGCAGCTTCCTGGGAGTTCCCTTTTCCAAAGCACTTCCAAACCTTAGACATTAGTGTGTGTGGGACTTGTTGAAGTTTTGTAAATAAAGAGAATTGAAGTGAACACATGGTTGTCACGTGGGCATCTTAGTGTCACTAATACAAGTGCATTTATGATGTATGTCATGATTCTCCACAGAACAGTGTTTTATATGAACAGCTCTAACAATAAACAGAGAAAGCTCACAGCAGGAGAGCTCACACTGAAACAGTCACACGGCGCCATCTGTCGGCTGTCTCCAGAACTGCACCATTAAATACATCTGCACAACTGAAGCTTCGTTTGTGGAGGGGACGTGATCCGCAGCTTTGGAAACACTTTGATCTTTGTGCTTCATAAAGTCAGCAGCTGATTGGAGCAGAGGGAAGAGAGGATCCTGAGCCACTGATTGGTGATTGGCATCAGGGGCAGCAGCAGCAGTGAAGAGGAAGTGACCTGCGCAGCTTTGACTGTATTAGGCTGAGTTTACACGGAGACAATGTGGCAGTAAAACGGTATAGTTGGATGTCGGTTGCTACCAACCGTTCATACGAAGACTGTGTTTCAGGGGGGTGAAAACGTAAGTGTTCAGATCCAGCCTGCAGAGTGGGACAACTCAGAAACGCTGCACAGCGGGGGCTCTCTTTAAATTTGGACATGCGCAGTAGCGGAGAACAAACATCAACAACAATGGCGGCGGTCGCACTAACTAGTTTCGTGGGCTTTCAGCGCGGCACAGAGGATAATTCTACTCCTTCGTTCGTCCAAACGAGACCACGCGAAGCTCTAGGTTCAGTTTCCATGTTCACAGCTGCTGTTAAAATGCAGAATGATGTTGGTACTTTCTGAGGGTCTGGCACAGGAAGTGAGTACACTGCCGAGAGGGGGGGCTGGGCACGGGGCTGGGGGTCGTGTGAGTGTTGTAAAGTTTCTCTGCCCACTACTGGCTGGGCGCTAGAACTACATCGTTTTTCAACCTCATGTGAACGCAGAGAAATTTGCATTAGGAGCCAGGCCGTTTCTGTTAATAGCCTGGAAACGTCTGCGCAGCGTCTCAGTATAAACAGGGCCTTAGAATCCTGTGTGTTTTAGTCAGTGGGGGAGGGTCCCAGCTCAAAAGTGGCCAAATTGACGGGTGCTGACATGCTTGCAATACCACCCCGGGCCGATGGGGGTGGACCCGGAATGTGAATTCTATAATGCTAACATATAGCATTAGCAGACCTCTCAAAAACGTCTTTACTGGATGGACCAAAAGTCGGCTTTTGGCTCAGAGCTACATTCCAGATGCGTGTCAATGCTGAGGGGAGTGAATTTTTTGGGTCCACTCTAGTTCAGCCACAATGATTATTTGAAATTTCGGCATATTTAATGAGCTGTCCGCCATTTTGAGCCGCCGCAAATCGTGAAGAGTATGCCAGCAGCTAGCTGAGCTCTGATTGGCTGGTTCTCGTGAGTTTGGAGCTAACACTGCTAACGTGGCTAATGATACCAGCTTGGACAGCATGGTATGCTGTCCAAGCTGGTATCAGTATGTGGATTCTGCTGCACAAGACACATGATGTAAATCTGATCAAAACAGGCTGCACTGAACCATACACTCGAGGGGAAAGGTGACTTTGGTGAGTAAAAACATTTTGGGATTCCCCTTTTCTTACTTTTTAAAGTAGTACTAGAATGTAATATGCTGCTATCCAGAATATATAACTACAATATGTGTTTATAATATTTTGGGTGTTCATTTTGATATGTTCAGATGAATTATGTTAAAAAAACAGATGGAAGGAGCCAAATACAGGACCATTCTGGAAGAAAACCTGTTGGAGTCTGCAAAAGACCTGAGACTGGGACGGAGATTTATCTTCCAACAGGACAATGATCCAAAACATAAAGCCAAATCTACAATGGAATGGTTCACAAATAGACGTATCCAGGTGTTAGAATGGCCAAGTCAAAGTCCAGACCTGAATCCAATCGAGAATCTGTGGAAAGAGCTGAAGACTGCTGTTCACAACCGCTCTCCATCCAACCTCACTGAGCTCGACCTGTTTTGCAAGGAAGAATGGGCAAATATTCCAGTCTCTCGATGTGCAAAACTGATAGAGACATACCCCAAGCGACTTGCAGCTGTAATTGCAGCAAAAGGTGGAGCTACAAAGTATTAGCACAAGGGGGCCGAATAATATTGCACACCCCACTTTTCAGTTTTTTATTTGTTAAAAAAGTTTAAATTATCCAATACATTTTGTTCCACTTCACGATTGTGTCCCACTTGTTGTTGAGTCATGACAAAAAATATTTTTTTTATATCTTTATGTTTGAAGCCTGAAATGTGGCGAAATGTTGAAAGGTTCTTTCGCAAGGCACTGTATAAAAAGTATAAAAAGGAACGATTAGCTAAACGCCTGATTCTAAAGGTCACAAACAAACGTGTGGAGCAACACGGGGGTCACGACACCAGACCAGGAAGTGTGCAGGCCAAGACCGAGGGAGACAGGCCACTGGCTTTTAAAGCCTGCACACTACCGCCCCCTGGTGGCCCCGTACGGCCACATTCGTTTGAATCTGCACTCGTCGCTTATCGCGTCTGTTCCATTCCTCCTGCACTTATAAATC